AGTTGCCATGACTCACCCTGAAGCAGTGTCATGTATTTGTGGGATCGTCGTTACATGTTGAATCATTTCACCTGGAGTGAGACGGCGTTTGAACAGTGAGTGAGTCAGCTCTTTTTCAGCAATACCACGGGTCACCAGAAATGGGCTTCACACATTGTCTCCATTTCGGGAATCAAACCTGTCTTCGGCGTGACGAGCGAATGCTTTAACCACTAGGCTACCGTGCTTGGTTGCAAATGTTTTAGGTTATGACGTAGGTTTGTTCATGCTGACTATTCGCGATAGCTAACTTCGTGATATCCAACGTAATGTGTAGAATCGTATCCCGGTATCCCTTGGCCTGAAATAGTGATCATATCGCGTAATATTGCCAGCGCAACATCTTACTCCGACGTACTGAGTCGACGCTGCAAGTGACGTCAGCTTGTCTGACCTTGAGCTTTCACACAGGTCACTGCATGCGCCTATCATGTGGCGGAACTAATTCAGGCTAATGTTTTATTTAATTCATAATTCATATTTTGAAGGGGCATCAATACTAGTTGTAAATACTTCTTATTTAAACAGTTATCACTTAGTACATGAACATGACCCCTTGAGTGAGTGAGTGAGTGAGTGAGTATGGTTTTACGCCGCTTTTAGCAATATTCCAGCAATATCACGGCGGGGGACACCAGAAATGGGCTTCACACATTGTACCCATGTCGGGAATCGAACCCGGGTCTTCGGCGTGACGAGCGAACGCTTTAACCACTAGACTACCCGACCGCCCCTCATGACCCCTTGAAGAATAGGTCTTCAGCAACCCATGCTAACGGGATCGGGTGGTCAGGCTGGCTGTCTTGGTTGATGTATGTCATCGTATCCCAATTGTGTAGATGCTCATGATGTCAATCACTGGATTGTCTGGTCCAGACTCGAGTATTTACAGACCGCCGTCATATAACTGGAATATATTGCTGAGTGCGGCGTTAAACAACAAACAAAACACAACAAGAACATGAGAGTTGAAAAGACGTTTGAAAAGATCGACAAATCACTCTTGTTGTGTACCAACGACAGGCAGTAAAATATGATAAGAAAAGCGACACGTTGTGTTGTCACGAACCATCTGAATATCAATATTCTCTGTTGTAGACGAACCCTTGACTTTTTTATCCTGACAACTTTTTCACCGAGGGTTTAGTGTGTCGTGAACATGTTTTGAGTTTTCTTTGATCCGTTTTCACTGATTCCAATAGAACTCATACCCCAATCAAACTAGCAAAAAGCTCCGGAGGTGAGGTTTTCATTTTCTGAGTACACCACTGGGTAGGTAAACATGTCTATTTCATGTCAACACGCTCGAGTGTGCTCTGTTGAACCGACAGGGAGAAGTGTTTACCGTGTATACTCTATGATTGAATTTACCAAAGGATAAACATTGACTCCAGTGTTTTACCAGCAATATGACTGGAGACATGTATATGGAAAGTGCAGAATAAAAATAGCAAGCATATTCATGCGATATTTCTATCACTAAGATATTAGCTTAAGATACATATTTGAATAGAAATCAATTCAAGAGCATGCGTTTCTGGTCAAATTCACTCTTAAATAGATAAATAAATATATCGTAATATATAGAATTGTTGCTTCTATATTATTACTTTTTTAGATGATCCATACAACGTTAATTCTCGTATTATTTTGTAAACTCAAGTTGATATTATTTGTCATTTGACGGAGTTTCTATGTAATTTCTTCGCGTTAATACATACTACAGTATGTCGATTTTCTTTCTTTCATTATCTTTTTGTATATGGTCCATATTTCTTTCGTAAAAACATTTATTTGCTGATCGACTTGTATTAACCGTGTCAGTTAATCGATGTCCAAATCATTACCAAGTAATATAATCACGATCAATATATTAAACAAAATCGCTGATAGACGATGTTAATACCCCGGCCAATGTTGTGTAATCTTGCAAAGGTAAGGTGCTAAAATGGCGTATCGATTTCTAGTCCTTGTGAAAGGACGACTGCTGTTAACGTTTTTTAATAGCACAGAGGGAATAAGAGTCTCAGTGAACCTGTACAGCTACGAACGCCCTCTCCTGACTCCAATTTTTACTCAATTCATAATGTTGCGTGTGATTCTCTTGATGCTGATGCGCTTCGTGCAGAAATAACCGTTACTGCTCGTGTCTTTCCGTACCCATCTTGGCCACTCGTGTCATTCCGGGACAAGCGTTGTTGAAGTGTACGACAAAACAGGAGTGGTGATGAGTGAGGGGTGTGTCGCCATTCGACTTTATTCTTGACCACCCGTGTTATTCCGGGACACTCTTGTAGGTTAGGTTGTAGGTTAGGTTGTAGGTTTCGTCATCACTTGCATCTTTCCGTAACCTACAAGAAGCCATTCGGCTTGTCCAGGAATGATAAAGATGTGAGTGATGACGAATGGTAAAGATGTGAGTGGTGACGAATGGTAAAGATGTGAGAAGTGACGAATGGTAAAGATGTGAGTGGTGACGAATGGTGAAGATGTGAGAAGTGACGAATTGTAAAGATGTGAGTGGTGACGAATGGTAAAGATGTGAGAAGTGACGAATGGTAAAGATGTGAGTGGTGACGAATAGTTAAGATGTGAGAGGTGACGAATGAGGGAGATGTGAGTGGTGACGAATGATAAAGATGTGAGAAGTGACGAATGGTAAAGATGTGAGTGGTGACGAATGGTAAAGATGTGAGTGGTGACGAATGGTAAAGATGTGAGAAGTGACGAATGGTAAAGATGTGAGTGGTGACGAATGGTGAAGATGTGAGAAGTGACGAATTGTAAAGATGTGAGTGGTGACGAATGGTAAAGATGTGAGAAGTGACGAATGGTAAAGATTTGAGAAGTGACGAATGGTAAAGATGTGAGTGGTGACGAATGGTAAAGATGTGAGTGGTGACGAATGGTAAAGATGTGAGAAGTGACGAATGGTAAAGATGTGAGTGGTGAAGAATGGTGAAGATGTGAGTGGTGACAAATGGTGAAGATGTGAGTGGTGACGAACGATAAAGATGTGAGTGTGGCGAATGGTGAAGATGTGAGAAGTGACGAATGGTAAAGATGTGAGTGGTGACGAATGATAAGGATGTGAGAAGTGACGAATGGTAAAGATGTGTGTGGTGACGAATAGTTAAGATGTGAGAGGTGACGAATGAGGGAGATGTGAGTGGTGACGAATGATAAAGATGTGAGAAGTGACGAATGGTAAAGATGTGAGAAGTGACGGATGGTAAAGATGTGAGTGGTGACGAATGATAAGGATGTGAGTGGTGACGAATGGTAAAGATGTGAGTGGTGACGAATGGTAAAGATGTGAGAAGTGACGGATGGTAAAGATGTGAGTGGTGACGAATGATAAGGATGTGAGAAGTGACGAATGGTAAAGATGTGAGTGGTGACGAATGGTAAAGATGTGAGAAGTGACGAATGGTAAAGATGTGAGTGGTGACGAATAGTTAAGATGTGAGAGGTGACGAATGAGGGAGATGTGAGTGGTGACGAATGGTAAAGATGTGAGAAGTGACGAATGGTAAAGATTTGAGTGGTGACGAATGGTGAAGATGTGAGAAGTGACGAATGGTAAAGATGTGAGTGGTGACGAATGGTAAAGATGTGAGTGGTGACGAATGGTAAAGATGTGAGAAGTGACGAATGGTAAAGATGTGAGTGGTGAAGAATGGTGAAGATGTGAGTGGTGACGAATGGTAAAGATGTGAGTGGTGACGAATGAGGGAGATGTGAGTGGTGACGAATGATAAAGATGTGAGTGGTGACGAATGGTGAGGATGTGAGTGGTGACGAATAGTTAAGATGTGAGAGGTGACGAATGAGGGAGATGTGAGTGGTGACGAATGATAAAGATGTGAGTGGTGACGAATGGTGAGGATGTGAGTGGTGACGAATGGTAAAGATGTGAAATTTAAAGTTGTAATCTTAAAGTTCAACTTATCTTGAAATTTCAAGATCATTATCTTAAAATTTCAACTTGGTATCGTGAAATTTCAACATAACATCTTGAAATTTCAAGAAAAAAACACCAAGGCTTCCGTGGGTTTGCCAGGCCCACACTCAGTTAAAATAATAAAGCCTCTGTGATGTCGCTTGAGTTTATTGACCGTTGCATTGAACAGAATTTACTCTCTTTTTCTACACAAAATATTGCTGCTCCGAGGACCTTGCAAACACTTATGTGTTGAATTAATTTTTTTCACCTCAAACTATAATATATAAATGTTACTTTTATTGTTCGAAATCTTGAAAAGCAAAACGTTTACGAGAAAACCCTTGGCCCGATGTATTTTGTTGATGCGCCAGGCATATTCTCGTAAATTCATAAGATTATTTAGTTCCAAGGCGCTGAAAGATTTGCATTCACTTAAATCTACATTCACATTGCGAATTCATTTAATACCCATACGTGAGTGTGATAATTGTATACAGACAAACGGCACTTAACCACCCCCATTCACCCATAACTGCATCAGCGGAGCAGATCAGTCCAAGTCGTAGATGGCAATGGGTTGTGAGATTAGTTCATTAACGAAGTTTTAGGCATAACATGTTGGACATTTGGAAACAGTAATATTAAGCATATGACATAAACATACACACAAACCATTTCTGGGCAAGTCAGAAAGTTATGAAATGTGCACTCGAAGTGAAAACTTGATTGTATGTATCTTCACGTTATTCAATGAGATCGGACTTGCTCAGAAATGGATCTGGTGTTTGCTTAACTGTCACATGCGGAATACTGTTTCAGAGTGTCTAAGCTTTATGTCTAAAACTTCGTTAATGAACAATTGCTCCGCCATTAAGTCGCATCCTCTGGAATCTGAAGTTCTGATAAAAATTAATAAAATGGTATGACTTTTTATATCAAATACTACACTATGTATATGCACACCATATTATATTATTTTAATCAGAACTAGTTGAGTTTGTATGCACTTAAACAAGCAGTTTTCAAATTCAGACTTCGCTTCACGTGTTGCACGCTTTTCTCGCCCGAAACAACTCGTGCGCAGGTGAGGTGAGGTGAGGTCATCTGGCGAGGCTCAGCATCAGATATGTAAGTGTGGTACTTGTTTACATCACCATAATCAATATTATAGTTACTGTGAACAATATGGAACTAACAACCGCACCTTTCAGATCAGGGACAATCGCAGATAGAATTCATCAAATCGAAGTATATCTCATTATCAGCGATCAACAATGAATGGCGTGATGACCATTCTTGGTATATTTGCATGGTGTAGTTTGAATCTAGCTCAGGTCGGCGTGCAAGCATTGTAACCAGCTCGCTCACACGAACCTGTATGGATCCCGGGTAGAATGGGTCATCAGTATGCTTGTCGCAAGGGCCGATAGATGGTGATGGTTGGTTGCTGCATCCGAGTCATATACGCGCCTTGCTATAAGTTATAACTGTCATGTTGTTGACTGCTGCGTACAGCATCATTCACCAACTTAGCTTTTGTTTGTTGCTATAAAGCACTAAACTATGTAGTTCTTTTGTAAACGTGTATCTTTTTGTAGAATCTGTCAGTTCACGGGTGGCCCTGTCGTCTAAGGCGCCGCTAAGATGCGTCGCTTGGGCACGTCAGAACCTAAAGTATGATTGTACGCTCGAATACCGGTTCGCCCTGATTACGTTTCTGTGTTTGTCTGCACCATACCCGTGCTCGTGGGTTTAACTAAAGTGGTAAACATCATTTCGGGCTTTCCTCCTACACAAGGGTCTGTCGGGTAGCCTAGTAGTTAAAGCGTTCGCTCGTTACGCCGAAGACCCGGGTTCCATTCCTGACATGGGTACAATGTGTGCAGCCCATTTCTGGTGTCCCCCCGCCGTTATATTGCTAAAAGCGGTGTAAAACCATACTCACTCACTCCTCCCACACCAAGATGTCACTCCGTGATATAACTGGAAAACTGTTCAAAGCGGCTTTAAAACGAACTCTCTCACTCACACAAAAACCCACTGATTTAATCTTTTCAGTGGTGTATATTAGTGAATGTTAGTGTTTACCCATAGAAAGGGGTAGGTGGGATAATATGTGCCACTGGCATTTCCGATCATAACATTTGTGTCTGAAATATGAAAAGACAAACTTTTCCAGCGATAGTTGTTGAAAAGAACTAAACTGTGAAATTCAAATCTGATTCGGGACAGATTATTCATTAACAGTATTTGTTTTCACCAACTATTTTTAATATAATTGTATTTGTTATATTGCAAATCATTGATGTCAGTGGTGGGCAAACAGGCTGTATGTGTGTTTTAAGTAGGGTCGAAAACTCAAACTTTGCGTTACAATTCTGTGAAATGTTACCATTCTATGATTCGTATATCTGCGCATTTATCTGAAAACAAATATATGCAATGCATTAACATCAGTTACTTTTAGTTCTGTGTGCCAGTGTATTAATTTGGAATATCGCCAATAGTGAGTTAGTCATCTTAATTTCTTTCTGTTCAAATCTATGATAGGAAACGCAGTAATGATAAATTATCCCGGATTTTAAAATGGCATATTGAAGGACGTTGCCTGGTTATCTCTCCAAATTGTCCTGGGCATTTCAAAATTGGTAATTATAGTGAGTGAGTGAGTATGGTTTTACGCCGCTTTTAGCAATATTCCAGCAATATCGCGGCGGGGGACACCAGAAATGGGCTTCAATATGTACCCATGTCGGGAATCGAACCCGGGCCTTCGGCGTGACGAGCGAACGCTTTAACCACTAGGCTACCCGACCGCCCCTGGTAATGATAAATAAGACTGTATTGAATCATGAAATGGGTTGACCTGAAGGTATTTGTCTCCCGCAATATCCCTGAATATACGTAAACATTTATCGGGACAGTTGTGTACATTTAAAGTGGTCTGAACCCGTGAAGATTCGGCTTAGAACTGATCTTCGACAACCTATACATATCGTAAGAGGCAACTAACGGGATCAAATGGTCAGGCTCGATGACTTGATTGATGTATGTTATCGTTTCCTAATCACGTAGATCGATGCTCATTGCGTTAATCACTGGATTATCTGATCCGGACTCGAGTATTTACAGACCGGTGTCATATGGCTGTATTATTGCTGAGTGCGGCATTAAACAACAAACAAACAAACATACTGGTGTGACTGCCTAGTGGCATCTATGAAATGACAGTCAACTTGCTTTGTTAAGAGAATGAAAGAACACATATTGTACAATTACGGATAGTATCTTAATTAGAGTTGTTCAGCATATACTCTGTGTGGCCAATCATTTTTCTGTTCAGTAACGCAAGACATGGGTGATTTTATGAATACTTCAATCCTCTAGTAGTATAGCATAACTTAAATAATGTACATATGTCTTAAGGGGCAACTCAATTCGTCGGGACCCGTGAAGATCCGGGGTAGAATAGGTCTTCAGCAACCCATACTTGCCGTAAAAGGCGTCTATGCTTGTCGTAAGAGGCAACTAACGTGATCGGGTGGTCAAGCTCGTTGACTTGGTTGATGCATGTCATCGTATCCCAATTGCGTGGATCTATGCTCGTGATGTCAATCACTGGATTGTCTGGTCCAGAGTTGGTTATTTACAGACCGCCGTCATATAGCTTGAATATTGCTGAGGGTGGCGTTAAACAAAAAACAGACCGCCGTCATATAGCTTGAATATTGCTGAGGGTGGCGTTAAACAAAAAACAATAACATTTAAGAGATTTCTATTTCAACATGTTTAAGATTCTGACAAACAAACAATTCGTCGGGTGGTCAGACTCGGTGCATTTAGTTGGTGTCATCGAACCCGGGCGGCATGGAACGTTGTCTATTGCTCATAATATCAACCATTGGTTTGTCGAGTATTTACAAGCGTTAAACCAACTCACTCACTCCTTCTATTTCAGGATCGTCAACAGAACTTTTGGTCGCAATCTGAAAGGGAAGTTCTCCGTCCTTCTGGTCGCTGGCGTGCTCAGTCTGCTTGCCTTCTTCGGGGAGTTCCAGAACAAGGCAGTTGGTGATTTCCAGAACAAGGCATTTGGTCACCTCTCACAGTACCAGTTCAGAAGAACCCCTTACGCCCAAGTTTCTGATAAACTCGCAAGGAAGACAAGTGGCTTGAATAGCACCCTAAAGGACGTACGCTGGAGGAAATCCTCAAGGAAACAGGGGATAGGATCAAAGTCAGGCGAACCTAACGAACCAGCGACTCTTGTAAAGGCAACCGCTTCTGCTAGAACAATAGGTCACTATAAAACGACTATAAAAGCCTCTACAATGTCCCCAAGGAGGTTTAAAATGAAAATTGTCAGTAAAACGAAACCGCAAAGTTTGTCTAAAAAATTCAAAATTACAAAGAAACGACATGGTGATTTAAATAAACTAAACTCTAAACTTCGATCCAGACCAAAGAAACTTCGTGTACTCGACAAACGTTATGGTCCGAAAACCTCTACCAGAACCAAACAGTACGCTTTCCTCCTCAATGTCTTAGGAGCTTGTGATCGTTATACAGAGCTCGTCGTTGTCGTCTGCTCGTCACCGTCGAATTTTGTGAAAAGAACTGCCATACGGAAGACTTGGGGTTCTGTCGCCAAAAACCCGAAATACAAAATACGGCTGGTATTTATTGTTGGCGGAAGCCGCTCACCGAAAAACCGTGCGCTTCTTAAAAATGAAAGCAGAGCGTTTGAAGACATGATCCAAAAGGACTTTGTGGACAGTTACATGAACCTCACGCTCAAGTCTTTATCAATGCTGGAATGGGTGACGCACTATTGCAATTCATCCAAGTTCATGCTGAAAGCTGATGATGACATGTACATCAATCTGCCAAATCTTATCAAGGCCCTTCATGGACCTAAACGTGATATGTTTATTATGGGCCATCTTCACGATAAGGGGAGACCAGTGCGTGACAAGAAATCTAAATGGTTTATTCCACGAAACATTTACGGTAGAAACAGTTACCCTCCGTTCACTGTGGGTGTAGCATACTCGATGACAACCAAGGCGGCACGACGGCTGTATGTCCAAGCGCAAACGATGCCTTTCTTTCCAATGGAGGACGTATTCCTGACCGGGATTGTTGCTTCCGCTTCCGGTATACCTAGATACGACCATATTGGTTTCTATGACAAGTGGAGAAAGCCCAGCTGCGAATTTAAGAAGAAAATTGCAGAACATAAGCATTCACCAAAGGAGCTTTACCTGATACACGATTTGGTAACAGGAGAGGCATGCAAATAGAGGACATGGGGACCGCGTCGGATATTGGTGGTGGGAGGGAAGACGCTGAGTTGGATGGCAACGGGGTACACGATGTCAAGGATTGGTGTAGACAACGCCGCATCAAGCAAAAAACACTCCACCCGGCTTTTTTTTCTGTAGACGCTGATGCTTGTAATAAATTACCACCTTAAGTTGTCTTAGCATGTTCATTCGTTGGAAAAATAACTAGGTCCCCTGCAACTCTTCGGGGACAAGCTATAGTTCTATTGTTTTATGGGAGTCGCATGTATTGCCCAAAGTAAAAGGTGACGTGAAATGGTGTTTAACGTCGCGTCCAAGATTATTACACTTATACAACGATGTACATGTGAGTGTGTAGTGTATAGGTATGTGTGGCTGCTGGTACTAGTCCGGACTAATGCCAAGTTTAAAGTGCTAGTCAACTGAGATACCATGCCGCAGATTAAAATGAATAACCCATTCAGACCCAATATACTGACTCAGAGCCGACCAGTCCTTGTTTTAGCCCCTTAATGCCGAACGTATTTTGGTATGAAGCGGCCGGGGATCGAACCCGTCCTTCCGTTCTACCACCAGACCACGGGGGCGGTCCCCAAGTATAAAAACAATGGGGATGATATAATGAGCATGGTGGTACATCGTCAAAGGATCAAAACCACCATTCGGACAATGTCTCTTTTATCCATGGTATGTTTAGCATAGAGTACGCAAACAACAGATTAAATCATTGATTATGTGATAGAGTGAGCTTCGACCAAACCACTGGGGATGTACTCGCACTCAGCTATGACATGACGGTCTGTAATAAATAGTATCTGGGCAACCAAGTAGTTGACAGCATGATTAGCCTCAATGTCGGTTGTTTATGACACAATAAGGTCACTTCTAATGACATGGACCCTATTTAATTCGGTTGTTGCGACCTCAGTGGGGATCTGCCCTTCAATTCACCAGAGGTCACACACGCTGCTCGCGTCCCGTGGGAAATCCGGGGACGATTAGGTCCCAAGTAACCCATGCTTGTCGTAAGAGCAGACTTTGACGGTCGGGCTGTCAGGTTCGAGGCTTGGCTGATTGAGGAACATCACGCCCCAAAGACGTCGCTCAAGCTTTCATTCACTGGTTGTCTGCTCACCACTTGCAGTCCGTAGCGGGGTAGCAGGAACGTCGATGGTTGCGTCCTAAAACAGCATTCACTCTCTTGTCCTGTCGGCTTAAAAACTGGTCATCTGCAGTTAGCGACAGGATACTTCTGGACCAGTGCGTTGATATAGCTACCGAACGTGATACCAAGACCCGATTACTCATAGCTTGAATGTGATTGGTTTGGAAAGCGTCAGTATCACAGTATCCCCTGCCAAAATATGAAACAAAACGTATCTTCAGTTCAAACGAACCCAACGCTGGTCAAAGCCGATTAAACGAATATTTCTTTACATTACACGGAGTGACCAGGGTTAGAATAGGTCTTCAGCAACCCTTGCTTGTCGTAAAAGTCTATTTACGGGATCGGTGGTCAGGCTCGGTGACGCGGTTGACGCATGTCATCATATCCCAATTGTGTAGATCGATGCTCATGGTGTCGATCTCTGGATTGTCTGGTCCAGACTCGATTGTTTACAGACGGGTCGTAATACAGCTGGAATATTGCCAAGTGCGGCGTTAAACAGAGGGACATGGCCGATGGCGTGGATCATTGATCATGCTTCCGACCACTGGATTTCCTGACCTAGAAACGATTGCATATAGACAGCGCCGACAAATGAGTGAGTTGTGTTTAACACCGCTTTTAACGGTATTCCAGTCATATCGCGGCGTGTCAGCTTAATGTGGGAGGAAAGCCCGAAATGGTGCAGGTCTCAGACGCATACCACTTCAGTGAAACCCACGAGCATGGGTATGGTGCTGACAAACCTAGAAACATAATCGGGGCGAACCGGGATTCGAACCCACAATCATAGGTTTCTGGCGTGCCCAAGGGACGCAACTCTGCACAGCGAATTGCGGCGCCTTAGACGACTGGGTCCCCGTGCCCCCAGCGCCGACGAAGCTGGAACAGTGTTAATTTGGTAGAACAGAGACCCGGCATTGTAAGTTTGTGTTTAGGCACCAGGTTAACCCGGCGGAGACGATTGACCTCGTACCTAGACATTACGGTTTTAACACCGATTTATCAAGTTAGTAATTGAATGATCCCATCCGCCTTGGTCTGTTTTATCTTGACTCTGATGGAAAATAATTCAATCTTTGAAGCGAACGTAAAATATTTGGATCCCAGTCAGTGCTTTTAACGCCGCCGCCGCCGAAGCAACTCTCAAATTCTCTGTGACGGTGCATGTAATTAGAGTCTGGACCCTGTTTTGTGACAATCCAGTGATTGACAATGTCAAACGCGGTCGGGGTACGGTACACACAATCAATTCAAAGAGTCTGACCACCTATCTGTACTGGTTCCTCAAGAACAGCATAGGCTTCTGGGGACCAATAACTTGAAATCCTAACATTCACACACTATTAACATATCTGGACAGGGTTTCTGATTAAATTTTATTGATCAGCGATTAACACGAATTTAAAGAGGAAGTAGGGTTCAAGGCTGCTTTGAACAGTTTTTCAGTTATTGGCAGCTAAACGTGGAAGTAAAGCCCTCGTACACATCTCCTCAATGTTCCAAACCCAAGATCACTGAATTCTTGTAAAACAAATGGTGTTAAATAATCTGTCATGATCTAGCTGAAAAGTTGTGCATCATTGAGGAAAACTTACTTATGGAACTCTCAAAACATGCACTCCTATTAGAAGAGATTGTTAGTCAACAATACCCAGTTTTGTAAAGTGTAGGTTGTGGATCACTGAGACAAGCAGCATAAACAAAGACATAAGCAGAGAGTTACACCAAATGAATATTTTACTATTGAATATGTACAATGTGTGGCTGCGGCTGCAGTAGCTCCCTCCAACACTATATGATTGATGGCCTCTTGGACAGCGCTCTGTAACAGACAGTGACATTACCTTCAAAACAAAATGGACATTTCATTAAAAAAAAATAGGACTATGGTGAATTTTGGAAATTCAAATACAATTGCCATAGCAATACACTTGCCAACTGAGTTGAAATGGGGTTCAAGATTATTGCACTTATATACCATTTTTTTGGCATGTCTGCGCGCACTGCACTGGTTGTGACCAATGGTGGTTTTAGTGGCTATTGCTTTGTTTGTTGTTGAACACCGCATTCAGCAAAATTCCAGCTATATGACGGCGCTCTGTAAGTAATCTAGTCTGGACCGGACAATCCAGTGATTGACAACATGAGCATCGATCCGCACAATTGGGATAGATGACATGCATCAACCAAGTCAGCGAGCCTGACCAACCGATCCTGTTAGTTGTCTCTTATGACAAGCATAGTCGCCTTTTCAGCAAGCAAGCGGGTTTCATGAGCCAGTGGCTATTGCTAGCCCACTGAGATGCCATGCTGAATTTTAACATGGATACTCCACTCAGACTCCGAGTCAACCAGCCCTTGTTTTATCCCCTCAATGCTGAGAGCCAGGCAGTGTGACGAGAACCACATATTTATTGTCTTTCGGAATTCTTTCTTTTGCTCTCCCGAAGATGCTGTATCCACTACACCATGTTGGAGATCTGGATATTGAGGTGATGTACAGAAATTGAAGGGGTTCAGTGTTGCGTGTTCAAGTAAGGTACAAGCATAAGCCTTGTATGGTGTATCAGCTCTTTTGGGGACATAGACATTGTGTACTTCATCACTTACCGATGCTAGATGTATATGCCGACCCAGAGCAGCAGAAAGAGCACTCCAAAGCCCATAAACACTGAGGCAAATAAAGACACTAGAAGCTCCTTGTAGATATCACGTGTAAACTTAGTTGATGTCACCTCGTATCTGACACAAGCTAAGGAATTCAAAAAGCATGATCATATTATGATAAATCTTCATACCTGATCGTTATCATGATTATGGTGCTTTGATACAGTATTGTTTCGTGATACATGCTCATGTTACAATACATCAATTTACAACACCTGTATCGCATTTCATATGATACATTGCACTATATTGGCATAAATACATGTGGAAAATAAGAAACTGTTCCAACAAACAGCTTACACAGATTCTCTAGTATTTCATGGTTGAACATAAATGTTGTTGTTGTTGGTTTGTTGTTTAACACCGCACTCAGCAATATTCAAGCTATATGACAGCGGTCTGTAAATAATCGAGTCTGGACCAGACAAACCAGTGATTGATATCATGAGCATCAATCCGGGCAATTGGGATCTATGACATGCATCAACCAAGTCAGCGAGCCTGACCACCCGATCCCGTTAGTCGCCTTTTGCGACAAGCATAGTCACCTTTTACGGCAAGCATGGGTTGCTGAAGACCTTTTCTACCCTGGAATCTTAATCTACCGGGAACATAAATGGCCTAACATTCACACTGACCTCTAGCCAATATGTTTCTGCCCTACAATATCCCATCTTTAATCTCTGAAATCTAAGAACAAATGCCTCAGGGTTGTTATTCACCTGCTAAAGAAAGAGCATCCACTTGGGAAATAAAAGTACCATATCAGGATACGCATCGTATCGTGGCCAGAGTATCCGGATACACATCGTATCGCGACCCCACTGTATCATTACACCACTTATGATCATGTGTGACATAACATTGCAACTATATTGTCAACAATTGGTACACTGCCTCAAACATGCATAACCATTTGACTGCTATGGGTTACCTCCCTTTGACTAAGCTGGCCGACCATTAGGTTTACTGGGTTTTCCTCCATTGTCAGCATGATCAGAAATATATGATATATCACTAAATGTGAATCAATTCTGTTTGTAACCGCCATACCAATGGTGAATCTAGTGACCTTGAACACCCCTAGTCTGGCACTGATGCAAGTCTCAAGATGTCATAGTTTTAGAACCAAGTAGTAGACTATGTGTACATTAAAAATTTCAGAAAAGAGAGAGAGATTACATAGATAGACAGGTTAGTTTAGGTGTGTTTGTTAGTAATAAGGCATATACCGTATTCGACGTAATAAGGGCCCAGGGCGCTCTCAAAATTAGAAATAGGGGGCTCTTATTAGAATATAATTTTAGTGAAAACAAACAAGTTAAAAGATAAATTTTGTGCTTTATGCTGACAGCCTGAAATGTTTATATTCGACAGATATATTTTTCCAGAATTTAATTGCCCATAATTAAGTGTGCATATAACACATGAGTGCATATTATACGCGAATAAATAAGTCTTGTGTACATTGATCAATCGGAAGGGGTGCTAATTAGGATTGTTCACTGGCCAATATATTAGTAAATATCGCCGTGGGAGCTTATTAGAGCGGGGCGCTTATTACGTCAAATACGGTAATTCATTATTTCAATCGGAACTTCTGAATCCTGTGCTAATTAATAGGTCACTTTCACCCCGTTTTCACAATATTCGCAACGACACACCAAGGATACACAAAGAACCAGGCCATGAAGAAGATGCCAATCCCCAGCAGGACAATGGTGAGATGGGGAAACACAGCCGGGTTGATGGGGCTGACATAGCGGCTCATAGACTCCAGGGCGGCAGACTGAAACACACGGAAATTTCATGACCCAACACTCAAACCTGACAAGACAGTCATGAACTGCCAAAAGTAAGTTTAGCTGAGAATATTGCAACATGCATGATGTCAAAAAAAACCAACCCAACATCAGTAGAAACAACAACAGTTGAGTCTTAAAAGATATCATTATTATATACATGTACGGTAATAACACTATTTGTTGCCAGTGTTTCAGACCAGTTCATTTTTTTAAAATGCTGACTGTCATCCACAATGTACAATATTGGTTTTTTAAATAAGGTAATCATATCAATTTATCTACTTAAAGCTACAAGTAACCTAGCTCTACATTGAAAACACAGTATGTTTATCATAATTATCAATACTCATATCACATTGTTGCATAGCTTCTAAAAAAACAACTGGGAATGCCTAGAAGTGGTTCCCTAATGACTTCCTTCTTCAGTCGTAATATTAGACGTCATATAGCTGGAATATTGCTGAGTGCGACGTAAAACAACAAACCAACCAACAATCGTAATATTCCAGCTAAAAGTTCATTTCAGCTTGAATACAAAAGCTTATCAAGGGCTCTTGATTGGGAGTCTATCACTAGTGATTTTGTTTGTTTGTTCTTTAACGCCACACTCAGTCATATTCCAGCTATATGACTGCAGTCTGTAAATAATCGAGTCTAGAACAGACGATCCAGTGATTGACATCATGAGCATCAATCCATGCAATTTAGATAAATGACATGTAAAAATGATGCATTAACCAAGTCAGCAAGCCTGACCACCTGATCCCCTTAACTGCCTCTTGGGACAAGCATAGTCACCTTTTACGGCAAGCATGGGTTGCTGAAGACCTATTCTACCCTGAATCTTCACGGGTCCTATCACTTGTGATAGAATTTCAGTGAAACAGTGATAGATATATGCTCTAGTCATCTATCACAAGGCAGTTTCTCTAATATCAAAGACATCCAACTGAGGACTAGTCCACGTTTTTGCCTATCAGCATACGAGGGTGATAATACGTGGACACAACATATGCACATAAGCAACTGTGAATGGATCACGTTAAAATATTTTTAGTCAACTATTATATGGACGCATCAATTCGGAAATTCTTCACAATTTCATCCTACTAAAATTTCTATTGCTGCAGAAAACGTTCTGACAGCTAGAATTTTTATACTTATCCACGAACAGAATCTGTGTGAAATGGTGAACCTGGACTGATTTCCACATTTAGGATATCATACACCTTAAATTTGCAATATAATAGCGCTGCAATTGCTTAGAAATGTACTTGTAAGTGTGCGTTCGCCAACTGATTGTTGAAATATATTCGTTTTGATATTTTTCGTGAAAATAGTAATGTTTATGTTTAACCGGAAGAAGGGTACCGGCTAGGGATACGTGGCACATCTTCTTGCAAAAACAGAGAAAACGGCCTAAAATATGAAAATATTGTAGGCAGAACATAAAGACATTAATATTCTATGTAATGCAGTAGTTGTCAGTTGAAATAAACATCACACACAGCGCGATTACTGTGGATTCGGAACACATAACAAGTGCCCGTACTCACCATTTTGACGATTAACCCGGAAGTACGTGTCTCAATGGCACGCATGCGCTTTTAATTCTGGACTATTCCAATATGATGTAAACATTATTAATGGGGGTGTATGGTAAGTAGGACATTACCCGATTATAAAACATTTACAGAAACGTTAAGGTTTCTTATGAGTAAACATAACACTTTGGAATAATGTATAATCAATAATACACATAAAACCGCAGACATAAAGTATTGGGACAGTCCAATGCATATATGGGGGGTGTAAGCCTTGAGGTGTCCCACTGAAAGTGATTGCACTGAATGAAGTGATATATCATTCTTGTCGTGAACACTATTGGAGAAAGATCCGCGCGAGAGTCTTCTAAACCGTTGTCCCTGGAGAACACTCAAGTGTCAACAAGTCTACTGTGTAAGATGGCAGTTGCCTGGATTTGGGAACTTTTGCTTCATGATGTTGACAGCTTATAGTGAAACAAGTGCCTGAAATCTAAACCTTCTTATGTGAGGGTTTGATTTTAGGATTTTAGGAGGCAATGTCAGTGCTTAGTTCTCTAGCAAAGGGATACGGGTCGTGGAATGGGGACATTGATCTGACCCTTACAAAAGAAACTACAGTAAGTCTCATATCGATTATATAAAATGTTTTCTTTTTTGTTTTATCGTTATTAATGTCTTTATTTTTACCAATATATTTCAGTTCCCTTTTGCCTCTGAGAATTATTTTATATTAAAGAGCACTAGAAAAAAGGTAATTGATTATTTTGAAGAAGTATATGCTTGTTGAAGATTTCATTATTTTAAAGAAGTACTGTTTTTTAGAGAAATGAGATAAAACAAATTATAGTTTTTTGTGTTATATTTTTTTTAATGCAGGCATTGAAGCATATATCATTCTCCTTAAAGGTAGTTATTTTGACAAAATACTCAAATGAACAAATATATTATCTGTAAAATACATATATTATTTATAGGAAATTTAGAGTACAAATTTTTTTGGGTACAAAATCACTACATTTCCATTCATATAATTACTCACTATGTATATCTACATTTAGAAGTTGTTCCTGGAAGAAATATTATTTTATAGTGTAATCGCAGATAGCACTTGTAGCAGTACCATCACATATGAGTTTGTTAAATCCAATGTGTAATTCCTGCTTCATTACACTCAACCTAGTATTTTTTGGAGGCCTTATTCTAAAGGCTCATGACACATAATACAAACATTTGAGAAAGCTATTACGTAGAGGGGAACTCTCCATTCCTAAAAAAAGATGGAACAGAGGCCCATTATAGTTAAGGAATGGAGAGTTACGAGGATATTCCCCTACTTAAAATACATCCCTACTTTTACACTTTGGCATAATATTCTGTTGTGGATAATATTTGAAAAATAAAACAGAACCCTTTGTTGTCTGTATTTTTACTGCATGAGTGGCCCTTGTGTGATGCACGAGGAATGCGTTTCTGCCGCTGTTGCACATGCGCCAACCTCCGTCGTGAACTGACATTTACAATGCATGGTACACAGCTCTTATTAATTTCGTTGGGTTCTAAACTAGTACTTATCAATTACTTGGACATTGATAATACATGCTGACGGGAATATTAGGAAATATAGAGCCCCGAACAAGGATATATATATATTCTGCTCTAACCCAAATTATATGCATATTATTTTGAGCTTTTAAGCACTATGCAAAATTATGAAAATATTTAATAGTTAATTTACCATCCATACATTCATGTACCGCCGTAGCTGAGGTTGATCATTACACGCTCCCGATTCAAACGATGCGGGTTCGAATCCCACTGGCGACACATGTTTTCGGGAAGTGGAAATTAATTCAAATGTTGGTTCAAGATAATGTATGGTTGACAAACAACTCTCCATTCCTGAAAAATAATGGAGCGTTCTAACAATAGAATGACGTCACAGATGTGTTTTAACTTTTATTCATGGTGGTGTAAGGTGGCTTGATAATTATTTTGTGGTACAGATATTGATATTTGTAATTTTCATAATTCATTGTTTTTATTCTAGTTTCACATTTTTGAAGAGGAAAAAAATTTAAAATAATGGACAGGCACTTGAAAGGGTTGGGATGCATTTTTAGGATGATCATATCTTTTTGTACTGTGATCATGGATATGGAAACAATATCTGTCAGTGTGGCCTTAAAATGGTATACTTTGTATCTAATATTTTCAGAATATCTTGCCCCAAACAGCAGGATCCACGAGACCCCATCGTCATGGGATTACAGTTTCTCCAAGAGCACCAAACTCGGTGCCCGCCACAGCCCCTGGAAACTGTGGAATCAGGTTCCAAAACTGTGATGGGAAACTGGACCTTCCCAAAACATTCCTGACTCGGAAAGGGGCATTGTTACTGTTCACAGCTCCGGATGATTCGGAACAAACAAATGTTCCGAGTCAGAGGTTTCACAGAAGACAGAAAGGGAAGCAGCTGATTGACCTGAGTTTGAAACTTGGAACTCTAGACAGGCTGTGCAAGTCTGTACTTCAGTATGGAGGCGAGGTCAGTTGTATATTCAAACATTAGTTCAATTTAATTCTTTATTATTAATGGGGTTATTTTTTCTTTTAAATTTTTATTCTTTGGTATTTCATTTTAATTATTTTTTTCTTTCGATAATTATTTTTATTTTTGTATTGTTTTAATACACCAATTGTAATTTTAGTTAAAAATTCATTCATACTAAAAAATAGGTAGTATATATTTAATAGTAGTGTCTTTATGGCCAGAGTCAGGGGTGTTAGAAACCACTTCTAATTTACAACTTCAAGGGGAGGATATGACAACATATACAACTGTTTTATAAAGACTTGTAGACCTGTAAGGATTCCGGTAGACCTGTTAGGATTCCGGGTGAAAGTAGGTCCCGAGACCCTAAAGTTTGTCATGAGGGTCAACTGACCTTGAGATCAGGTGGTAAAGGTGACTTGGTTGATGTCATTGTTCTGAGATAGTCGACGTGGATCATTGCTCATGCTATCAATCACTGGTTTGCCAGAACCAGACTATGTAAGGCAGCCAGGATACAGCTGGAATATTGCTGACTGCTGCAGAAAAACATGAATACTAAGTTAATTGGAGAGCAATTGTATTCATAAACAATATTCAAGTAATTTTCTTGTTAAGTAATCTCTGATCACATGAAACTCATTTCAGTAAATGCACAATTATTTTGGATGGCTTAACGTAAAACATCACAATCTGTTGGGGACGTTCATCTTTGTTAATACAATAGGTTTAAATGTCTGTGTTTCATTATAAATGGTTGACCCTATAATAGATCGCCTCCATGGTCTAGTGGTAGAACGTCCGCCCGGAGAGCGGAAGGTCCGGGGTTCGATCCCCGACCGCGTCATACCTAAAGACGTTAAAAGATGGTACTTGTTGTGGTATTCATGTTAAACTGCGGCATGGTATCTCAGTGAGCTAGCACTATAAATCGTCATCAGTCCGGACTAGTACAAGCAAACACACACACGTACATGCACGTCACTATATAAGTGCAATAATCTTGGACGCGACGTTAAACCCCATTTCACCTCACCTGATCCTATAATAAAACATACTTGTATTCTGATACACAGTTTAGAATCAGGAGGCCACTGTAGGTGTGTTTACATGTACTCTGGAACATCAGCAAGATGTCAGTTTTTGTTTTCTTCAGGAGTATGACAGAGAAAACTCGAGTGTATCAGATCCACGCAATAAAACATTCTTGAAGTTCGTGCATCAACCTCAAGAACCAGAAGATGTAGAGATTGATGCTCATTCTCAACCAGGTGGCGACCTGGATTTTTACCTCCGTGATCTGAAGTCTAGATCCAGGTGAGAGTTCTAATACAGTTCTGGAACATTCTATATAGTTGTCTAATTACAATGAATCTTTTCAGTCCTTAGAAAAGAAGTGGTGTGAAAGTTCTCTGAATGTCCCCTGTCAAGGTCGTCACAGAACACTGTCTTTTGTTTTGTTTGTTTGTTGTTTAATGCCGCACTCAGCAATATTCCAGCTATATGACGGTGGTCTGTAAACAATCAAGTCTGGACAAGACAATCCAGTGATTGACATCATGAGCATCGTTCCACACAATTGGGATTGATAACATGCATCAACCAAGTCAGCGAGTCTGACCACCCGATCCCATTAGTTGCCTCTTACGACAAGCATAGTCACCTTTTACGGCAAGCATGGGTTTCTGAATACCTGTTCTACCCCGGATCTTCACAGGCATAGTCGCCGGCAAGCATGGCTACTGAAGACCCCGGATCTTCACGGGTCACTGTGTTTGTACAGCCATGGTGGTGTCTATGATCAATCACTGGTTTGCCAGAACCAGACTTCACTATATAAGGCAACCAGGACGCAGATGGAATATTGCTGACTGCTGCAGAAAAACATGAACACTAAGTTAATTGGAGAGCAATTGTATTCAAAAACTATATTCAAGTGATTTTCTTGTTAAGTAATCTCTGATTACATGAAACTAATTTCAGTAAATGCACAATTATTTTGGATGGGTAACTTAAAACATCACAAGCCGAGATTAACTCTCAAAAATAAACAATAAAACAAAACCAAAAAGTATCTTTTTTATTCCAACACAGTATTAAACAATTTATTAGAAGTAAATTGGAAAAAGCAAATTTTAAACGGTCTGGCCTCAATTACAAAAGATTTACTGCAGCATTATTGAAATCTCCACCAGTGTGTCTTGTAAATTATCAACTCTCCCATTTTAAGAGAAAAAGTAACTGGATACACATGCATTAAATGGTTATGTCTGACTTATGCCAACTGACATCGTAATTTCTGTCTCAGTCAAGCAAATACAATGGCCCAGTATAGAGCTCCCCAAGGCAACCACACAATTACCTTGGTTCATTGCAACATGGCAACATGGCTTATTACCTGCCTAAAAGCTTCTGTGCACAACAATGGAAAACCAGCAAGGAAATTGATCACTTCTGTCAATCAATGAATTAATTTCACCTAACTTATTTCCTAAGTTTATTTTCTCCTTGAGACACCAGTCCAGCATATGCTTCTACCCGTGTGTCTCAGTAACAATGGCGGCTGTATAGATGTGACAGATTTGATTTATTCCTAGTCAGATGGAGGAGGGTAATGTTTATTTTCTTCGTTGCTATGGTGATTAACAATGTAACATATTGTAAGAGAGGGGAAAGGAAATTAATTATGCTTTTCCATCTGTTGATCTGCATGTAATGTTTATTTTGTTTTTATGCTGATGGCTGCCAACCTTTTAGTCAGCTGACTAATAAAGTATGTTGTACATTGCGATATGTACGAGACATGTGATGGATCATTATAGCAGATTTTTTGGTTGTTTAGTACCTTGTTACCATGGCTACTTTGACTTCGGGACAACATTTCCCCATTATGGTGCTCTTTGTTTTCATGGTTTTTTTCAAATCATTTTCTGATTAGTCCTGTAGGTTTTCCTCATGGTAATAAGTCTCAATTACTTGTGTGGCCAGGCCAAGTTTGTGTTTATTATTCTCATTTCCTTGTTCAATATGTCAAGACAGAGGAAGCAAAATTGAAAAAAATCTTAAAATGTCAACATCCAGAGACCATAGTTACGAACAACAGTTTCAGATAAGTTAATGAAGAAAAACAAAAAATCTGAACTGCCCTGTTTTTCACTTAATTACACTTACAAAAATAATGAGTCAAGTACTTTTTCTTATTTCTTTTGACTGAAGCTAATGCAAGCAGCAATATCTGTTTTGTTTGTTTTTTTATTTGTTGTTTACTGTAAATAATCGAGTCTGGACCAGACAATCCAGTGACTGACATCATGAGCATCAATGTCAATCACTGGATTGCTGATATGATGACATGCATCAACCAAGTCAGCGAGCCTGACCACCCGATCCCGTTAGTCGCCTCTTACAACAAGCTGGTCCCCTTTTACAGCAAACGTTGGTTGCTGAAGACCTATTCTACCCCGGATCTACACAGGTTAGCAATATCTGTAGAACTACATGAAATTGTAAGGCCTGAGTTGATTTATATGAAGACATATTGATACAGTTTCTAAATCGTTTTGTTCTGCCCTTTATTTTCTCATATGTTAAATTTTCTTCAAGTTTTAACAAATTGTATCAGTGAATATTGACATATTAAAACCAGTAATGACATAAAAACCATAGGTTGATTATTCCATTAGCCATGTTCCATTCATTGGTTGACAAGCTGGTGATGTAATCTTCAAGTATTTTATTGATCATCGGCGCGATCAATATTGGTGATCAGAATATGTCATTGATATGGTAATGCAGATATTGACTTTTCAGTGCATATTTATTGATCCCAGAGATCTAAGAATCTTGATAATGATATGATACTACAGAAAGTGAAATAAACACACACTCTAGTGTTATCAACATGTTTTTATAACTGTCAAAAGTGCTATGAAGTATAAATCAACATGTTTTTTTAAATAGATATTATGATGAATAGATTTGTTTGGAAACACCCATTTTGTTGTTGTTAGGGGCTTGGAAATGTTGTGTATTACAAACTATAATTTTTCTTTTTTACTATACATAAAAAGCTTTTACCTCTCAAAACAATGTGGGTGGTCGGGTAGCCTAGTGGTTAAAGCGTTCGCTTGCCATGCCGAAGACCCCATGTTCCCCATCGTGACGTTGCTGGAATATTGCTAAAAGGGGCATAAAACCATACAATAATACAAAGTCTGTTTATGATAATAAAGGGAAGGAAATTTGTTTTTGTCAACTCAAATTTTTGCAATCCTCATGTTTTAAATATAAATAACTAGTCCCCTACATTTTTGTATTAGCTTTAATATTTCAATACTGTGTAATGAGAGTAGTGTATGTTTAAACGTCTTTCAAATAAGATAAAATAATTAGAATATTTTGGAGATATGAATTTGTGACTGCATTTGGAATAATTCACACTAGATCATATTTACCAGTCTTATTCTTCCATTACAGTATTATACTGTAGTTCATAAGACTGTACACTCCTTGTACCTGTCAGGGGTGAAACTACCATTGTAACAGAAAGCAATTGCTTACGCCTTAAAAAGCAAAAATGTTTTTCGCACCTAAAAAAACATGCACACAATTATTTTCATTACAATGATGATAAGGTCAGTTCGAGTAGAAAATAAATAACCATCAACTACTATGAATGAACATGTAAAGACACACAAAAGTAATATTGATTCGTTTTATTTCATCATAAATGTTTTCTGAATATAAGTCGAAAATGTGTTGAGGGGAAAAACGTATAAAATAAAACATTAACATAAATAAATTACCAAAATTTGTTACGATTAAATGTAGCAAAACAGTCCCCAAATGCAGGAAATAGCGTTTAAGAGCATCTTATTTCTAAAAAATTCTGGGGGAGCATCCCCCAAGATCCCCCTAGCGGGCCCTCATAACATTAATTTTGATTACAGTTAAAATTAGGCATGTTGCACTCCTGCTTAGATACTCACTCTTAGTGATATGCTCAAGTCAAATATATTCATGTTTAAGGAGATTGGTAAATAAAGCCAAAAGTCCATGTCAGAATGATATATTAATGGATTGGTGTACAGATGGACAAATGAAACGAAACGAACGGAACGAATGAACGAACGAACGAACGAACGAAATAGTTGGAGAATACACATAAACCCATGGTTAAACTTCTTAAAGGGGATCTATGCTCTATGCAGACTATATCCAGCCGAGATCATGACATCACTATTTAGAGCCATGTATGCAACAGAGACATTATCACCCTGTGTGTAGGTAATTAGTAGCAGCTAGGTTGACACACATCAAAATATAATATTAATATAAAAAACCCAATTAAGTTAAAAGAAGACAAAGTGTCATTTGATTCACTTGAATCAATTTTGCTTGGTCTGCCAAATTGCTCCAGGTCTAGTCCTCCTTTAAGACCTTGCAGTACCCACTGAACCATGGAGCCATTTAAAGAGGGAAAGATATTTATCCTATATTTCTAACTTCCTACCACACATACTGCCATTGTCCATATTGTAAGTGTTGAGAATAAAAGAAATTGGGGTGCAAATATGATCACTTTTACAGAAATCGCTTTTTTAATTTCTTATCGATGATGTTGATGTACATAAGTTGGCAGTCTAAAGTTGACACAAGTACTTTCCGGACACAGTGGCCATTGTGCTAGTGTTGACCTCACCTCACTATACTGGAATAAGATTTCACTTGTAATAATGCTATCAAGTAATGAGACCAATTTGCCTGTGTTAACAGTTTGTTTATAGATTGTATCCAGTGTCTGAGTACACTCTTACTGCCTTTGTTTAGTGTAAGACGATATTGGATTTTGCTGGAGGTCGCTACAGTAGCGTTTTGCGTTACAAGTGTTAGTAGACATGACATATATATGTAGGACTCACATCTATGGCAGGACTCTGATCCGTGGCAGTTTCTCATTGTTATATGACGTCATGTTTGCAATGATGTCTTATCTGTGGATAATCAGTTCAATTGTTATATGATGTCACGATTCCTTGCCCGTCATAACATCATGTAAGTTAAACGTCTATTTCCAAAAGACACTGCGATCAGGTGAAAATGATGGAGCCGGATACCATAGAAAATTAAGATTCATGCCGGCAGAAGAAGAAATCAATATGGAATCGTTAAATGATTTTTAAAATTCCAAGCCATTCCTTGTGTAAAGGCTCTGAATCCGAAGTGGATTCAGGATTTTGTCAACTCTGGCAAATGAGAGGATGGTGCGGAAGGTCTTAGGAAATGATTTCTACGATGAAACTACGGGGAAGGTTTTT